AGCACCAGGACCATGACAGGGCTCAGACCCCCATGTTTTTATGGGGAGTTGTGTGCCATAACTTTTCCTTACAGAGAGCCCATAAAATTGATAGTCAGCCTAATTTCACGTGAGAGAAGACTGGACTTCCAGCACTTGCTCAAAAGCATGTTTGAAAACAATTGTATGTAATTATTATTCTTTATTTACTAGAACACTAACTTAGGATCATTCTTATTTTTTTTGATTCAGAGATGGGGTAATTGAGAGGTGTTTTAAAAACTTTTATTTTCAGTCTCATGTGAAGGATGAGACAATACAGATGTTATAATTCACACTATTTCAATTAGAAGTCACCTATTTATTAATTACACTATAAGCCTTTCTTGGCCTATCAGCTTTTGCCACACTATACTGCAAATGCTTTAAAGCCAAACATCTCAAATTACCCTTCTTGGGTCTTAATACAAAGTATCTTTCATAGTTTTATTTCTCCAAAGTATCCAGTCTTTTTTGTAAGGCCATCCTTTGATTTTTGTTTCTATTTCCATTTCTCTTAACAATGTCTGTCCTATTCCATGGCATTTCTAAGTCAGCATTTCTTATCTCAAAGTTTAGGTACAGATGCACACACTGTGTGAACCTTCTGTCAAGTTTGGAGAACGTTCTACAAATCCATTTCCCACAATTCCCCTAGTCCAAAATTCCACAGCCACCACTCCTCCTATGCCATAAACAATCCCTGAAAAGTTGAATAGCTCGGTGGGTGGTACTGAGAGTACACCCTCACCAGAGCAGCACAGTCTGTGTGGATTAAAGCAACACCCCTGGGAAGCCACCACAGATCACCTGAAAATGATCCTGGGCCTCTCCTGTTCTGCACAACAGCTCACCTGGATGGAAGGTGACCACACACCTCTTCCTTCTCCAGCTAAATTTAGGTACCACTCCAGCAGCCATGTGAGTACCCTTTAAATCAGGTCATGCAGGAGAGGAAATAACCACAGGTTCTGCTTTTGAAAATGCCATTATTGCCAGAGACACGCTCTAAAAGATGTTTTCTAAAATTGCAGGAGAGGAAAAACACAGTATGTAATCAGGAACTGAAAACGGTCGTTTATTAAAAGCCCCTAGCAATTTTCGTGTGAGATTGCTAAATGAAACTTTTGTTCTCCCTTAGGAATCAATGACCTTTTGAAAATTAGTGACCAAACAGAAATAGAAGACAATTCAAGGTAAGTCTATTGACAAAAGAGAAAAAAGAATCAAGGGTTCAAGCTATCTCACTGAAGATGAAATGGTGGAAGGTGCTGCTGAATGAGAGGTACTAAGTGAAGGTTAAAATGTCTCACATCTGCAGCAAATCACAGTTAAGAAAAACTGCCCACCAAAGGATGTTTGGCCACCTGCCAGGTGCATAAAACAGCAGAGAAAAATTGGGATTTAAATTATCCCAGGTGTTTCTCCTCCTGTTTGAGTTGTGCCAGATGGGGTCAAAGAGAAGGTTCAGGGTTTTAAACCCCAAACACACATGAGAGGAGGAAAAGGTTTTGGTAGCTGTGTGAAAAAAAAAAAAAAAAAAAAAAAAGGATTTGTTTAATTTTCCTGAAGATACATAAATCAGGATTCCTAACTATATTTTAAATGCTACATTACCTTCTTCTGAATTAAACCTTCTATAATTGCAGAAGGGCTTTTAAAAAAAGCATTGGCCATGGATCTCCTTATTCTGGCTCATATTTTCTGCAGCACTTATGACCCCAGGCATGAAGCTCTGAGTATCCAATCTCAAATTATTCAGACAGAACAATTTTTTAGGAAAAGTCTTACAACCCATTTTGTGAAAACGAGATTAGTGGCAGATTTTGTGAAGTCATACTCCCAAAATGTAGAAGTCTTTAAACTGAAATTAATTTGAAAAACAGTAGCCCACAGACTAAAGAAATATATGTTATTGCTTACCCTTCATCCCAAACACTGTCCTTCTCAAAAATTTGCATTATGTCACTAGCCACTCTGTAAAACTACAGTTTTTCAATTTCTAGCTGTTAGTACCCTTTGAATCTTCAACACTGGTTCTGTCAGTTCTGAAACCTATTAATCAAATTAAACTAATTTAAATTTATTACATATTTATTTGACAATCCCATTCATCTGCAAATACTTTAAAATTTTCCAGTCTTTTTGTAAAATGCGAAAGTAATTCAGAAGGCAATGCACCATCTGGCCTCATAGTATCTCTGTTAGCCTCGCAGGTTATCAAAAATTTACTGCTCCCTCCCTCTCTTTCATAATCTTCTGCATGTTTTCTCTCACAGACCGTTTCCTTTTTTCATAAAAAGATTGTGAGTTTAGAAAGCATTCAAAACCCCAAAAAGAGTCAAAGCTCTATGGTACTGTAAGGGTTGTAAAACAAATGTGGTTTTATGGCAGGAAAGATGGCACTGCTCATGTGACACAAAGCAGACATTTACAACAGAAGTTCAGGTTTTTCTTGCTGAGTCTTTACAGACCTTGCAAATATATTTGCATTACTTAAGACACAGACATATATTATTTTAAAAAATTGAGAAGCCCTAGCAAAAGATTCTGTGGGATTTGTTTTGACAGGGAAGCTATAAAATAGCAGTTGGATATTGTCAAAGTCTATCCAATTAAGAAATTCTTTTGAGCATCAAATGAACTAAAACCTATGTAAATATGATAAAAAACCAAAACTGTGTGAAAAAATTTCAGCCTTTTTGTCCCACCATTTTATTTAGCTTTATGTGATGCGTCTTTTACTAGTTAGTAGTTTACGTCCATTTTTTATGTCTATGTATGATGGTGTACAGGTAAAAATTAATACTTATATAAATCCTTGGAGTTCCTCTCTGTTCCACTGGACAATAATATTTATTACCTGTGAATAAATATGCACAGAATGAAGAAATTAAAATTATTTCTAAAACTTTGCCATTACATTTCCTTTTATTCTGTACTTCTTAGCCGTAAAACGTAATTCCTAAAACTTCTGTCTTTGCACAGAATTATTATTTATATAGTGCTGCAAAGTCTGAATAAATATTGTCTAATTCTTCATTTCTTTGCTCAGTTCAAGTGGTCTCACACAAATGTCCAAAGGAGTGTAATCATTCCCTTACCTCATTTTCTCAACAAGGCAGTGTTTTCACAGAGCTCTGTTGCTATAATAGGTATTATAGTGGAAGAAAATTGAAATACTTGCTCAAACATTTGCCAAAAAATTAAAAATTCTGGACTGCCACCAAGGGAAAGAATTCCCAGTCAGGCATCCATCAGCTACTCCTCATCCATTCAGGGAGCACCCAAGGGAGCAGGATACTCCTTGGTTTGGTGAGCCTTGTAAAATTCAGGAGCACCCAAATGAAATGCCTTTTCATGCAGTTTTATGCCAATGCTTGATTTGTCTGTAGTGCCTGGAAGTAATTTGTTAAATGTCTCACTCTTCCATGAGGTACTGCTGGTGCCTAAAACATCACCCATCAGAAAGGAATGACCTTTCCACTAGGGAGAAAAAAAAGAAAAAACACTGGTTATGTCTTTTTAAATGCTGATAAACTTAGGTGGCACCAACAACCTCAGCAAGATTTATTGAGCAATACCCTGCAGTATATAAGCACCATCAGGTAACTTTGCATTCTCTGATGAATAAACAATTGAAGTCGTAATTGTTTGTGCATTCCTGAAAATGTCAACAAAATCAAACATCTGTCATGCCAGATAAGGAAACACGGCTCGTTTAATGCACTTAGTGCTCTACTCAGCCTTGAAAAGGTCACTCCCAGTTTTAACAAGCAGGGTGTAATTTATTGGCTCCCAGGAAATGACCATGTAGTGACAGTAAAGCTGTGGCCATGTTTGGTTACCCTTCAAACGATGTATTTGATTAAGATGGCACATCATATTTAGCACAATCTGTTTAATGTTGCTTTTGGACGTGCTCTCACCCTCTCAATTACAACCAACTGTGACATGAAACTATTTTCACCAAAGCAACACTCACAGCCCCCAGCCCTAGCCCACCACAATAAAGCCAGAAGGATGGCCTTGAAATCCACCCGTTTAAGACAACAAACAGCACACAAAGGCAGCATTCAGTCCCCTGCCATCTTCAGTGGCAATAAACAAAACCCACAGTGCAGATTGGAGCCATCACCAGCGCACAGGTGGTGCCTGTCTGCCAAGAAGGGCTGGACACCCCTCTGGCTCTGCTCTGGCTTCCTGCATCAGGCTTCTGGATCCAGCCCTGAATCCCTTCGCAAATAACTCGTGGCAAGTCCTGCTTGTTCTCCCTGCTGGCTGCACCAAGAGGCTGTCAGGACAGCCCAGGGATGTCTCATTTTGCACAGACCTGTTTAGCTGAAAACTGATCTCTTGGAACTGCTTAGTGACCTCCATTATTCTGCTGTTGGTCTGTGCTCAAAAGATTTGCTAATATCAGTGAGAGTGAGATAATTTGGGGTGAATATGGACACAGTGTGGCATAGAGGTTCATGACTCCTTCAACACATTACCTTGAAGCTTAGTCAATTTTTTGCTTGTTGGCTGTTGTAACCCACGAGTGCAATGCATTCAGTGTCATTTGGCCCTAAAAACCCTGACAAAAGTGTTAATTATTGGTCCTGATGAGTTGGTTCTGTTAGTCTTTAAACTGAGAGGTCTAATCCTGCAGGATACCATTGTGTGGGAGATCCAAATAAGCAATGTATTTCCCAGACTGGCTGGCAGGTCAGAGCTAGCACAGATGCACAAATGTGTTGATCACATCACTGGACAGCTGGTGGGAGCTGGCCCAACTCTTCCCTCTGTTCTTCTCCCAAGTATTTGACTTGTGAGCCAGTTCTGTGAGCTGGCTCCAGGAATTTATTTATAATCCATGGAGGTGATGTGGGGTGAGAGAACAATGCTCTTAGAAGGTTTGTGCTTTAGGGAAAGGTGAATTTGAGGTGCTTTGTCTGTCTAAATCATGTAAGACATTAAACAAAAGAGGAGAAAAGATATGCACAGTTCTTCTTTTATTTTTTTGTACACAAGAGAGTCACAAGGCCAAGTGAGGATTATGCTGCTGGGATTTTTTCATCCCAACAGGATTACAAAATGCGTTATGAAGTGTCAGTTTGCTTCATGCCTGCCAGTAATGGAAAATGGGGATTACAGCCCTCTCTGCAAAGGTTGATCACTGCTCCCCTGAGCGAGGACAAGTGGGCCTGTGCATCCAGATCAATCCTAGAAGGCTCCTGTGGGGAAATAAGATTGAATTTTGACTATCTGAGTAACCAGGATTTACACTGGATTGTTACTAGGCTCTCCCACAGCCTATTTTCAGAGTGACGTGGCCTGACCCTTTCTACTTACAAATTCAAGTCATGTAAGGACATTGAGCAGAATTCACTCCTGAGACATAATATAGCATCACTGTGAGGGAGTAGATCACCCATCCTCATGATCAGCTGTCATGATTTATGCGAGACATGGTTTAACACCAACCAGAAAGTCACCCCCATGCAGCCCCTTGCCCACCCTGCCCTGGTGGGATCAGGGAGAGAATTGGGACAAAACAAAGAATCCACTGCTCATTTCCCATGGGCAGGCAGGTGCTCAGCCATCCCAGGACATCAGGGCTCTGTCACATGTCATGCTGACAAACACCAGCACTCCAAATGTCCCCCACCTCCTCCTTGTCCCCGCAGCTCTACATGCAGAACAGGATGCTGCAAGGTCTTGGATGTCCCTTGGGTCACTTGGGGTCACCTGTCCTGGCTGTGCCCTCTCCCAAATCCTTGTGCACTCCCAACCTGTGCCCTGGTGGGGTGGAGGGAGGAGGAGGAATGTCTTTGTGCAAGCTGAGCAAGAACGAAAACATCCCTGTGTTGTCAACACTCCACCACAGATCCAAACCACAGCCCCACACCAGCTGCTGTGAACAAAATTCACCTTGCTCAAGCCAAAAGCAATCCATTCTCCCCTCCTCTCCTGTGCCCAGGCCACTCACCCTCCAATACATCCTCATTAACCACCACCCCTCTTGATGTGGCACAGAGACATTGTTCCCTTAGTCTATGGACCACTTTTGTAAAATGTCCTTGAAATGTCTAAAATGCCCACAAAAATGCTCACTGAGTTCATGTTGTCCACGGCTTTGGGGTCCATCTGAGAACAGCAGTGTTGCTGTGGAACAGCCTCTGTCCTCTCCCAAAATCTGGATGACCCAAAAGCTCAGAATCTGAATTCAGCGCCTAACTAAAAATCTCAGCTCTGGTACTGCCACCACCCTCCTGCTAAGCAGGAATCAAACAGCATTTCCCATAATGGGTCAGGGGCACCAAAAATAAACAGGAGGAAATAACCATTTTGCAGATTGCATAATCCCACTGCAGAACACTTTGCTGCAAGATGTGTGAAGGAGGTAGGAAAGGATCAGACAAATCCAAAGAGCACAGTGTGGAACCAACAGGAGGGTCCATAGACAATGTGAACTCTGGGCTGTGAAGCAGAAAGAAAGGGAAGGTGTCCTAAAAAAGCACCTATATGTAATGCTTCATTTAGTACCTCTCCAAAATTCTGTTGTTTCCTATTTTTTGTGTTGTGTCTGCTGCTGGCTGACCACAGAGACAGCACTGAGAGAGCCCTTGGTCTGAGCCAGCAAGGATCAGGCTGGAATATTGCCTTAAACAGACATTTAGATGCACCCTTAAAAACCTAATTATGTCTCAGACCTGCCAACTGTTCGGCTGATCTTGGTCATAAAGATATATTCATCTTGGGTTTGTATTTTTAATCATAATTAAGTCACTTTTTCTACACTTGGCCTTATGGCTATTTCATTTACTTAAGCTGTAATGATTAAATCTAATTTACTATTCTGAAATCTTAATCCTTCTGAAAAGTAATGGGCAAAGTACACAGGTCAGTTAAGAAACTGATTTCACCACATAACCTCCATTTAGTAATTCCATTTATTTCAATAAAACTAGCTGGCACATGAAAGAAAGACTCTACAGTGGCCTTTAGTCTCCAGAAAATCATAGATTTTTTAATACAAGCACTGAAGAGATGTCTTGACCTCTCCCTGAACGTATAATTTTTCATGGAAAAAAATCCAAAACAAATCCAGCTCATAAAATCTCTCTAAAGAAAGGCACCTACATTTTGTGCTTGTTCTTACTTTACAAGTACAACATTATCCTTTTCAAATATGCAAAATGTCAGCTTGATAATACAGGGGAAAGGGCTTCCATATCCACAGTGAACATGATTTCTCTAAAAAACAATAAATGAAAAGCCTATTACTAATGCAGTATTCTCGTTTAATCACGTTTGTTCATTACTTCCATATTTTAGGTGATAAAAAAGGAGGAACAATTATTGCCTTGTTCACTGTGATTTATTTGGCTCAGTGCCTCCTTACCTAGGTAATGTAAAATAAACTGTGCTACATGGGTCATTTATGATGTGATTTAATAGGATGCTTTTTATTTCTAGCCTGTAGGGAAACACATTATTTTGGAAGCACCTGGGAAAAAAAGAAAAAGAAAATAAATAAAAAATAAAAAGAACCCTAACCAAAATCCAAACCAAAACACTCAACAAGATTTCTTTTGTTCATTTTCTATTTTCACTCAGTAGACTCCAGCCTAGAAGTTAATTTAAAGCAGGTTTTCCATTGTGGTAATGTACTAAAACAAGACTTCAAAACCCACATCAGGAAATGGTGCCTGGATGTTAAAATAAGGAAGGTTGTAACTACAAGCTTGACCAGCTCCTAACTTCCTTTGGGTATTTCTGTGTAAATTAAGACTTGTTCCTTTTCACTGGCTGAAACAGGTTAATGTTTTTGCTTAGCAGCACATGCTGTCTGCAAACAAAGTTATATTTGTATAACAGGTATCTGCGACACGCCTGGAGGTAAAAAAATTAGTTAGGAAAATTGTTTTTCTACAGACACAGTGAATAACATGAGCAAGTTTACCACACTGAAAATTACAAAAAAACTTACAGGAATTTAGGACCAGTTTCTATGGCTTTTAGCTTTTTTGATGATTCATTTATAGCCATTCTGTGGGAATAATGCTAACTCAAAACTCTGAAGATGGCACAAAGTTAAAGGAGCTGGTATTTGAAAACCCTGCATGGGGATATTCCATATATTGTAAGTGGAAGATCTGATGCTGATGACAAAGCACTGCAGCAAAAACCTACCTGTTTCCAGTATAAATCCCTGGGGTTTTGTCACTCAAAATTCTCAGAAATTTTAATTTGAAACAACACTATTTGCCTTAAAGATCTCTCTGGAAAGAGATTCATTAGTGAGAAGAGTTTAAAGAATTTTTAGAAACCAAATGATTTCACCTATTTTTTCTCTATTTCTAAAAATTAGTAGCACTTTATGCCCCCATTAATAAAATCCTGTATCTCCTGGTATACAGCCTCATTCAAAGTTAAAAGCACAAGCAGGAAAATATTCACTGTAGCTTGAGAAATCCCAACCAACAAAAAGCTCCACCAAGTGCCTACCTGAAGTCCTAAAATTCAGCATATTTAGTCTGCTGAGTTGTAGAAGCTTGGCAGCATGACCATGTGGAAGAGATAGGGAGGCTCAGGAGGTGGTGAAGGGTTCAGTCCCCATGAGGATTTTGGGAAGAAATTAAGCAACAACACAAATCTGTGAGATGGAGATGGCAGGAGTACACATCATTTTATCTGTGCTGTGAGACACCCTTGGATGTCCTGAAATGCAGAGCATAAGAACAGCTAGAAACAAGGAGAGGTAAGATATTGAAAAGTACTGATGGCTTAAAGTCATCTGTGATTCCTCCTGTAGCTGAAAATCTCTGTAGAGATGGTGGCACTGGGTGGAATTTAAGGTCCCTCCCAATCTAAACAGTTTCATTATCCTATGACTCTTAGTACACAGGTAAAGGATTAACTAATCTCTAGTTAAAAATTGCTTTCAGCATGAGGCTTTCAAGACAATTTCTCCTTCTGCTGCAGCAGTGATAACATCTGATGCTGTATCTTCTGGCAGTATTTAGTGAAGTAAAGCACTTACCTAATTGCATAGGAGGGTAGTACATCAATACAGTCACATAATCCATAAACATTTCTCTTTCATAAGCTCTTATCGCCTTACCACTGATTATTTAGGGGTGAGGGGAAAGCATTACTGCTATATGGCATCCTTCCCTTTATTATTTTTAGCCTTAAATGAGGTTAAAATATGCCAAGGAACAGGAATTTAAGGTGGGGAGCAATAAGACTGGAAATTGAGCGATTGGAACCACTTCAAAGATGTGCACAGAGAACTTGCAGCTCTACTCCACAAGCTGCAGCCTGGATATATCTGGTCCAGGCATGGGTGGGAGACAGTGTCACAGTATGCCAAGAGCTGCATTTGCCAACCCATTTTCCATTCCGAATGGCTAAGGCAGCACAGTTCACCACTCAAAGAACTGTCTGGGAAAGACTAAGCCAAAATGAAATTAATTTAGATGTTTTTTGAGCTGTAGAACTAGAGATGCTGAAGATGATCATACGACTTGAGAGATCCCATAAAGAGAAATTCTCTCATAGATTCAACTTGCTCAAAAAATGTTCATGAAAAATGTCTCTTGATGCAAATCACCAAGAATCACACTGATTCCTCGTAAGTTCACGCTTCACTACTCACTGAAATTACCAAAATTAATTCTCTTAACTCCAAAGGCACAATCAGTTGAGGAACTTGTGAATGTGATGACGCTGCTCTTACACAGGCAACAAAAGATGATGTTTTGTGGTTTTGTTATAGCAAACCTGACTGCAGTAGAAGACCTAAGGGACCTAAGACAAATGGTTGTAAGAAATTATTTATGGGTAGCTTTTGTATCATCTCTCTCGTGCCTGCTAACATAGTAGGTTTACTTTAATGAAAACATAGGAAAAGATCTTAGTATCTGGTTTAAAGGTTATTATTGTTCTTTCAGAGAATCTAATCTTATCCTGGGCTCCCTGCCAAGCTATATTAACTAATAAAATGTTCTTTTGTACCTCTTTAAAGACACTGCCACACCATGTGCAGTTCAGTGAAACACTTAATTTTTGCATTTTAAACTTGGTTTATAGACTTGCCATTAGTCTTGGGCTTCCAAAAAGAAAGGGCTTGGTGATAGCAAGGAGCCTGCTTAAATCTTGTAGCAGGACACACTGCATGGGGAGCCCAACACAACAAAAAGAATGTGCTCTGCTCACCCTGATGCCTTAGGATTTTAGTGTTTGTATTTTTCATACAATTGTAATCCTGCAGTTCTTTAGTGTATAACTCTAAACTCCATATTCAGTGTCAGCTGCTGCTTCCCCATTTTGGGCAGACACAGCAATTCCTCTCTGTCAATCAAGGACACCTCACTGCCTTAGGGCCCAGAAATGTAAAACAAAAGTGACTTGGGGAGAGAAACTTGGGGTAAATGCCTTCGTTACCTGAAGCAGTAATTGGGAGATTAACCCCCAATATGCAAATGGACAAAACTTAAAAAAGGGTGAAAACCTGTGACCCATCCTCCACTTTTGGGTGTAGCCCCTAGGTGGGCTTCTTCTGCCCTAAATGTACCTGAAGGCCTTCAGTAAAATTATAACTGCTTTTTCTTCCTTTAATTTTGTCTGGCCTCTGTTTTTAGGTTGCCCCAAAATGCATCAACCCCTGAGCCTTCAGTGTTCATCAAAGTATTGGATAAGAGAACAAGGGGATCAGCCCTGGGCACAGCAGAGGCCAGGGGAGCGTGTCAGCCCCAGGACAGCTTCTAGGAAAATGTGCTTTTTGGGGGCAAAGCAAGAAAGGCTGGCAAGGGGCTGGAAGTCTGTAATTTAGATGTCAGAATGTGTCAGATATACCACTGTCCAACTTGATCTGTTACCACTGTGTATAAAATTTACCCACAGAAGTTCTCCTCCAGGCAGTCAGTGCTGGGAGCAGGTCCAACCACCCTTCTGGAATGAGGCTCTAAAGTGGTCTGGATTTCTGCCCTCACAAAGCCAGGACCTCTGGGGTTTTCAGTGCTAGTTTGTTCTTCTCTCACCTTCACAAAACAAAGGAAATACAACTTTATTAATGTTAACTACTGGTGTTAATGCTTCAGTGGAAATCCATAACAATTAGAATTGTCATAACCACTGATTTACACAGATTTCCAGAACAAAACAAAGGTGATAACAAGCCAGTGGATGTCCAAGAAATAAACCTGCTCAATCTC